GTAGCTTTTGTCTCTTCACTTGCAAGAGCTTTCTATTGTGTTCACTTCATCCTGTGTTCCAGTTCATGCTGGTGTTTAATAAGACATTCTATTTCTGTTCATAATTTTTGTAGATTTTTCTTCAAAGTAATATTTTTAAGTAATGTATCCTCCAAAACAGCCTGTAATTTTCAGCTGATCTCCAAGAAGAGTTCTAATGTCTGCCCACTGTCAGCCAGATGGGAAGTATACAAGGATGCCTTGACGCCTCTTTCTCTACTCAAATGAACCTTGTTAAAATTGGATGACGGTTAAAATCTGATGACGGTGTGCCTGCTTTTTCTCATCAGATGTAACTGAATTATTTTTTTTCCTAATTTCTTCTACCAATTGCTTTGTATGATGCTCCATAAATCCAATATTCTCATTTTTCTGGGCATGAGTTTTCTGCAGCCTTACTATCCTTTCCATCAGCACAGTCTTGTCCATTTCTTGAAAGTTATCCACAACTACAGAGGAGCCGGTATTTTCTTGTGATCTACCCTCTGCACTCTCACATCATCAAAGTAGTTAATGTCTTCAAGTATTAAGGGAACCTGATGAACTAGAACGTCTCCCCATGCTATTGACTTCTTTATTATAACTGTCGTTCTTAATCTGGTCTAATTTTTCTCGTGCTTGCTGAAGTTGCTTGGTGAGGTCCTTGAGATTTAAAGCATGTTTGTGTCTTTGAGTAACTAGTTCATCTTTCAGTTCCACTTGCATATTTAATACTTTTAATTCTATTTGTCTAGAAGTCAGTTCAGCTTGCAAAGCTTGGCTTTCATTCTTTCGAAGTTCTTTTAATGACCTGCTTGCCAAATCAGTGTTAGTCTCTCTCATATGTCCAAAATGACTCTGTAATTGACTTTCACTACAGGAGAGTTTATCAGATTGTGACTGTAAAGAATTAGATTTAGATTGAAGTTGGGCATTCTTACACATTAATTTTTCTGTAAATAACAACAGCTCAGATTCTCTTTTTCTACTGCCTTCAATATCTTTTTATAGGTCATTAATCAAAGAATTCAGACTCCTCACTTCTTCAGACAAGTTTTCAATTTCTTAATTATCTCTTTAAAGCTGGTCCTGTAACTGCTCTTACAGTTTGAACTCTATCCAACAAATTCTGAATTGCAACTTTTGGATGATTAATAATCTCTTTATATTTGGGTAATTCATCTTCTGTTCTTAACCATTCATCTTCTAGATACTTCACTTTTGTTCTTAGTGTTTGTAGCTCATCCATATCCTCCTTAAATGTTCTCTTCAAGTCTTCTAGTTCTTTTACTTTGTCATGATGCATCTCTGGTTGATCAGATTTTTCCTTTATTTGTTTTTCTAGTTCTCCTTTTGTGACTTTGAGCTTTGCATCTAGCTCATTTGATTTAATTTCTTCTGACTCTTGATATGCTTTTATCATTTCTCAACAATTTTTCCATATTTAATCTGCCTCTTCTTTGGCCTGAGTTAATTTTATTGTTGTTTTTTTGAGTTTTATCTTTGGTTTCCTTGTGCGAATCCATTTCTGTTTTTAATTTGTTTTGTGCCCATTTTAACTTTGATGATGTGAGAGTTGATCTCTTCCTTCAATTTCTGTTTCTCTGCTCTTTCTAATGGCATCACCTTCCTTTGTTTCATAGCTGGTCTAGTCTTCCTTTTTCTTTAGAAAGCTGTTTAACTTTGTTAACATTTCTCAGTTTCTTTATTTGTGTCTCTGAGTTATCCTCATGTCCCTCCTTTTCCTTTTTAAGATCTAAAGATTTCTTTTCACCTTTGGTGTACTTCATCACCATTGCTTCTTTTTTCTTGGTAGCCCTCTCTCATTTCTTGTTTCCCTGCTCCATTCGAAAAACCATCTCTTTACGTAATTGAATTGAATTTTTGGCTGTAGTATCTTGCATTACAAGTTTTTCTTTGGAAATGTTAACATCTTTATTGAGTTCCTGTATTCTTGTTTTTAACTGTTTAATTATGTTTATATGTTGTCTCTCTGTTCCTGTTCGTATTCTTGGTTCTCTTAGATTGTCTTTTTCTGAACAAATTTCTAAAATAAGTTCCTTATGCTTCTTGTTTTCTTTAATTAACTTCTTTATAGTATGCTCCGACTGCAGATATTTATCTTGCATGCTTTTTTTTTTTTTTTTTGCTTTTTTTGGTGAGGCATTTGGGGTTAAGTGACTTGCTCAGGGTCACACAGCTAGTAAGTAGTCAAGTGTCTGAGGCCTGTACACATTTTTTAAACATAATTAAAGCATGTTCACTCTATTTTATTCCATTGGGTACTCTACGTTCATTTAAAAGTTCTGCAGATAAGAGCTCTGATTCTTTCTTCCAACAAATCATCCTGTGCTGAAACATTTTGTATTCTTGAAATGAGTTTCTTAGTACAGTCTGTATCATATAGACTTTCTGAATAAGTTTTTTCATTGGATGTTTCTGTAAGCTTAGATGACCTTAATTCTTGCAATATTTCTGTTAGTGTTTGTTCTGTTCCATTTCTCTTGATATTTGCTGTGCAAAATCTCCACCAGGAAAATGAGTTATTTTCTGGGATTTTTTTTCGTATGTGTCTGCTTTGTCACAAGAATTCCCAACTCCACTGTGATCTGGTGAGTAATCCTTTTTTTTGCTTAAATTCAGTCACCTCCAAGGAAGCTTAAGTGAAGTCATCTCTTTTTTGATGGAAGCAGTTTAGAATCTTTGTCTAAACTGCTCTCTTCATCTCCAGAAAAACAGCTTGTCGAGCCTTTTGTTGCAGATGCACCTCCCATGGTTTTATCTGATGAAATGAAAGGTATATTCTCTACCTCCAGCAAGCTAACTGACACCAATTCACTATACATTTCTTATGATCTTCTGATTTTCCTTGTTACACATCTGGCAGTGAAGCAATTAACTAAGTTGTCAGCTCTCCATAGTGAGGTCTGCAGGGCTGCGGGAGCAGGTGGGCACTCAAGGCTGGAGGGAAGTACAATGAGGAAGGCCAGGAATTCACCAGTCACAGGTTTCTCAAACCCCAGTGGAGCTGACACATCAACAAAGATGGCAGGGACACTGGACTCCATGGAATCGGCCAAGCTCCAGCCTGAATGTCCTTTCAACACCTTGAACTCAATATTAACAAAACTGAACTTACCATCTTCTTTTGCTTAAACCCATTCCTTTTCCAAATTTCCCTACTTTTGTTAGTGGTGCTATAATCCTTCCAATAATCAAAGTTCAAAAACTTGGAATCAACTTTGACCTTCCTCTTTCCTTCTCTAGCCTTTGCCTTGAATATCTAATCTATTGCCAAATGTTGTTGATTCTATTTCCCTAACATCTCCAGCATCTGTCCCTTTCTCTCCATTCATAATTCAGCTACCCTAATGTAAGCCCTCATTAGCTCTTTTTGTATATTATTATATTAGCCTTCTACTTGGGTTTCCTTGACTCTGATTTCTTCCATTCCTGATCTGTCTTTTACATAGCAGACAGGATAATCTTTCTAAAGCTTAAGTCTGCCTGTGTCATTCCACTTCTCCAAGACCTTCAGTGATAACCTGTTGTACCTAGGATAAAACACAAATTTCTTAGCTTGATATCCAGGGCCATTCACAGTCTGATACTAAGGTATTTTTCCATTTTCATTTTAAATAACATTCACATTCTTTCCTAAAAAAAAATGGCTTTTCCCCAAATTAGCATTCTATATGCTGCTTCTGTATAATCCATTTTCTGTACCTAGAACACTACCAAAACTGTGCTAGAGTCACTCCTTATTTCTTATCAGCCTATCACAATGCTTTCTCTTCTTCAGGGTTTAGATAAAGTTCCAGTTCCTTTGTGTAGCTTCTACTGATCTTCCTAGCTAAAAATGTTCTCCTCCTCTTCAGATATGCCTAGAACACTTTGTGCAGATCCCTCTTTTTTTCTTACCACTCTTTGCTTTGCTTTATGTATAGGTATGTGGAAGTCACAGTCCCTCCCCGTCACTTCCAAACCCCCACCTCAATAGGTTACAAGTTCCTTGAGGTCAGGACCTAGGTCATTTTTATTATTATATCATCAGGGCCTAGCACAGTGCAGTACACGCAGCGGGTGCTTAGTAAATATTGTTTGTTTTGTACTATTTCTTTGCCAGGATTGTTGTAAGGAAATAATATTACATATTACTATAAATCTGTGAGCCATCTTATTCAGAAGAATTGTTTAATGTGAGGAAAAACTTAGTGATCATAGCTATGTGAAAGCAGAAGGGATTGCCTAAGGCAGCAGTGGATTCCCATTACTGTATGTCTTCAGGTGAGGGCTGGATGATACAACTGTTTGTTGGAGATATTTGTAGAGGGGACTCCTGAGACGAGATTGAACCAGATGTTTTTGGGTTTTTTTTTGTCTTCTGAGTGTGATTTTTTTTTTTGAAGTAGTCCTTGAAGGATGGGTAGAGTTTAGCAAGGCAAAAAGAAAGAGTAAGTATATTCTAAATGGGAGTAATAATATGAGCAAGCACACAAGTGGGCTAGAATGAGACCCATGTGAGAAGATTGGCCTAGTTGGAACCTTTAGATCTGATTGGGAAGCACAGTAGTGAGAAACATGTTCAAAGGTAATGGAGGGTTAGGTGATCCCATTCTTCACTGATTTGAACCAGGGTTGGCCCATAATAGTATGAGTACATTTTGGCCTATGATAATGCAATTTTGTATTTAAGTAGCAGTTATCCAGAAATGGGATGGCCTTTAGATCATAAGCTTCTCAGGTTCATGGAGTAGATCATCTTTAATAGCAGAAAATGTTAGAGCTGAAAGGAACCTTAGAGATTATTAAATCCAACCCCCTCATTTTACAAATGAAAAACTGAAGCCAAGAGAGGAGAAGTGACTTCCAAGGTAGTAGTGACTGAGTCAGGATTTTGAAGTCTCCTAAGTTTCAGGTCACTGCTTTTTCCATTGTACCACATCCCCTAACGATGCTAACCTAACCTCTCTTTCTTGCAGGTGAACGGGAGATTGGAACAGAAGGGAAGATGCTGCTTTTGGCTCGGGAAGATAAAAAGCTACAGTGTGTGGGATTATGGAGCAGGCAGCCGGCAAGTACTTTCCACAATACATTCATACTGTAATAGCAATAGTTTACATTTGTATAGGTTTTATAGCACAAAAGCAGGAAGTGCTTTGGAATACTTTGATTTTTGATCACTTCACCCCAACCCTATGAGTAATGATCTCAGTTTCATTCTCCTTTTTATAGATGAAGAAAGTGAGACTCAGGGTGAGTGGCATGTTCCCAAGGTCACACAGCTAAGAATCATTCATCATCAATAATTCATAATCAATCATCATCAACAATCATTCATTAAGCATTTATTATGTACAAGGTGCTAGGTTACAAAGACAAAGAAAATTAAAATCATCCCTTCTTTCAAGGAGCTTATATTCTCTTGGAGGAGAATATTATATATAATTTTATGTAGAACAAATACAAAATGAATACCAGGAAATTAAATGTAGGGTGGCAAGAAAGGGAAGGAGGGCAAACACTAGCATCTGGGATTGTGAAAGCCTTCATGTAGAAGATGGTGCTTGATTTATGCCTTGTAGTAAGTGACGACTTTGGTGAGATGGAAGAGAGAAAGGAAAAGAGATGAATGAAGGACTGGAGTTCAGGTCTCCTGACTTCCTGTTCAGTTTTTTTTACCCACTGTGCCCATCTTGCATCTCTCTTGCAGCCTGCACCTATCAGATTCTGCAAAAGCTAGTTTAAACATGCTGTTGAAGAGGAGGGATAGCCTTGCCTTTTCTCTGTTTTTCCACTGAATATATGCACAATTGCTTAGATCATCTGTGTATTTAAAAATATGGTCAAAAATTAACAACAGTAATACCAATAACTAAATTTTATATAGTATTTACTATGTGCAAGGTATTGTGCTAAGTGTTTTACTCATTATCTCATTTGGTTCTTACAGCAATCATGGGAGGTAGACAGTATTGTTATCTCCATTTTATAGATGAGGAAACTGAGGCAAACAGAGGTTAAGTGATATGCCCAGGGTCACCCAACTAGTAAATGTCTGAGGCCAGATTTGAGTTCAGGTATTCTGACTCCAGGCCCAGCACTCTATCCACTGTGCCACTTAACAGAAAATGTATAGAGGGAGTTTCATCTGCACTGTTCTAAGGAATACTTACGGTGATCAGGATACAAACCTATTGCAGGATTTCACTGATAGGCAGCATGATGTATTGGAAAGAAAGAACTCTTAACTCAGAACTAGGAAACATGAAGTTAAGTTTAGAACCTATCATTGATTTGTTCTTTGACCTTAGGCAAATCACTTCCCCAGTCTGTGCCTCAGCTTCCTTGTAAAATGATGGGATCGGCCTAGATGAGAGGTTAAAATTTTATTTTTGTCCCCTTTGGCGGTCTGGTGAAGTCTGTGGATCTCTTTTCAGAGTGACTTTTTAAAATAAAGACTGGGGCAGCTAGGTGGTGCGGTGGATAAAGCTCCGGCCTTAGAGTCAGGAGGATCTGAGTTCAAATCCAGCCTCAGACACATAGCACTTACTAGCTGTGTGACCCTGGGCAAGTCACTTAACCTCATTGCCTAACAAAAACAACAACAAAAAAAATAACTGAAGAAAATGCTAAATATTAGAAGTTAGTAAAAATAAAGATGTATTTTTTTTCCCCATTCAACTTCATGGACCTCTGAAATCCATCCACAGATCCAAGGTTAAGAACCCCTCGCCTAAGGGGCATCTAGGTGGCACAGTGGGTGGAGCTCTGGCCTTAGACTCAGGAGGACCTGAGTTCAAATCCAGCTTCAGACACTTGACACGTACTAGTTGTGTGACCCTGGGCAAGTCACTTAACCCCAGTTGCATCACCAAAAAGCAAAAACAAAAAACAAAAATAAAACAAATGATACCAATAAAAATCTTAAAAACAAAAACCCCTGGCCTAAATGATCTCTAGTTCTCTTTTTGTATCTCAGAGCCTGTGAAAGGAATACAAGACTGAACCAGGTTTCTCCAGTCAAGTGCCATGAATAGTGACCATTTTACTTCATTGGGAAGAATTAGTTACTCTTTGCTAGGTGAACTGGTCTCTTGATTAAACTGCCTTCTTTGAAATTAGATTGGTATTGTCATTACTCAGATAAGTAATGATTTCATCTGACTTTAGACTTTGGATTCTCAGCAGGTCTCATCACACCCCTCTTCTTATGCCTTGTTCCTTTTCAAAGCTGATTCCAAGATGTCAAGTTTTCTGACAAAATTACCTCCTTTGCATTCTGAGATCCTGTGTTGCTTCTAACTTCTGGAAGGACATTGGGAGTTGTTTTGGCCGAGGGCAGGAAGAGAAAAAAAATTTAGGAAAAGGATTAGTTCATTTGACATACTGACATGGAACAAAGGAGCATTTAGTACTTTTTCTTTTATGATCCCTGGGTGAGAATCATGGCTTTAAACATGGGCTTCTCTGTTGCCTAGGTTTATTCTTTTTTTTTTCTTTTTTTTTTCTGTGAGGCAGTTGGGGTTAAGTGACTCGCCCAGAGTCTGAGGCTGGATTTGAACTCAGGTCCTCCTGACTCCAGGGCTGGTGCACCACCCAGTTGCCCCTCCTAGGTTTATTCTTGCAGACACTCCCAGGGTGGGGAGGGTATTCAAAACTATGCCATTTAAGAATCAATTGGGGATGTTTAGCTGGAAGAACAGAAGACTTCAGGGAGATATGGTAGTGATTAAGTCTTGGAAAGCCTGTTACATAAAAGGAAGTGTAGACTTGTTCTGCTTGGCCCCAGAAGGTAAAACTAGGAGCAGTGGAGGGAGCTGCAAAAAAGGTGGATTTATGACCTTCATATAAGGAAAAAATTCTTACCTGCTCGAAGTGTTTAATGATACAGTGGAATGCGAATCACCAGGAGACTTTGGACAAGACCATATGATTGTTTGTCAGAGATGTTGTGGGGGGCATTTATGATTAGGTTCTGATTGTTCTACGTTTCTCTGAGCTCCCTCCTGACTCTGGGATTCTGTACTTTGGCAGAAAACAAGACACTTTTGGGTGGATTAAAGGGCCCCTCCAGTAGAAGTGGGCAAGGGTCCTTAGGAAACCTGCAAGCTAGTGAGGATGGTGCTGGGGGCTTATATGGAAAAGGTACAAGGGAAAGGAATACCAAAGGATGCTAATTAGGTAATCTAGGGGTTCAGGTATCTGGATGGGAAAATGGAGGAAGTCTGCAGAGGTAACTTTGTTGATACCAGACATCGAGGGAGAAAAGATAGTTTTTTGTTTGGTTGCCAGAGGCATGGAGCTTGGGGATCTGGCGAGAGGGAGAGTCCTTGGGCCAGCCACTGCTGTGTCTGTTTTGAATAGAGAAAGAGACAATTTTCTCACAGGCCGGGGGCCTACTGAGAAATTGGGAGGCTTCCAGAGACATGATCTGAGGGCTGGGGCCTGAGCACCCATCACACCTAGGGATAATAGCTCCCTCTTCTGAACCCCTATAACACTTGATGCCTTTCTTTATGGCACTGGTTACATTCTTCCTTATTTGATTCAAATTAATTAAATGTGTGTTAAGCAGTCATTATATGCAAAGCACAACACTAGATGTTAGGATCCAAAAACTGATAAGAGACAGCCCCTTTTTTCAAGGAGCTTGCAGCCCAACGGGAGGAAGATCAAGTGTAAAAGTACTGATAACAGTAAAGGATAACAAGTCAGGTGCAGAAAAGGAACAGATCACTTTTTAAAAATGATTTACATTTCTTGTCTTTTTATTGTTCTGATGGTCCAGTGAATGTCAGGAGGGGAGAAAGGGAAGGGGTGCTGTTCTGCCATTGCATCAGTCTCAGTCAGTTAAATCCTGTAAGAAGGAAACCAGGCTAGCAAAACCACAGTTCTGATTTTGCTGAGAATCCTCTTTAGTAAGTGCATTTTTTCATACATTTTTGGCTCCTCTCTTAAGTTTTTTGCTTGATACGTTTCTTTGTTAAATAGAATGTCTAAATTGGATTCGGGCATGAGAGGTCACACTGTGAGGCCAAGGCTGCCCTACAATAAGGCCAAGGATTTCTTCTGTAGTGTAAAGTCAATATCTGTCTTCTTGCTCTCTGACCTAAAAAATGTCTCCATTAAGACATAAATTGTCCAGAAGAAGGAGTAAGTCAGCCAGCCATGAACTAATTCCCCCAACCCCAGTATTATAGATCATGTCTTCTTTTCTGCTTCAGTTAAAGAGGGAATAGTGTCCAGAACTTTTCCCCCTGCTGGTACACAAATAAAAAGTCGAACAATTTCCTGAGAGAAAAAGTAGAGTGTTCTCTCAATCTTTAGTTCTGTTTTGTATTCAAAAGGAGTTCAGCTTGTCTTCTGATTGAACCATAGGAAGGGCTTGAAGTAAAGAACTGTGCTATATGTAATATGGTTGCTTTTCCTCCACTTACTTTCTTAGGGCCAGGCCTGTTACATTTTATCCCTTGTTACCCTGAGTGGGTTGGAGAGTCTCTATCCTCCGCCACTGGCTCAATCCCTCCAACTGGCTGTGTTCACCCCTCATTTTTAGGGGCCCAGTGAATAGTGCTACACTTTCATTTAACCACTTACCATCAGATTAGCTTTTACAAAGGGATATTTACTTCAAAGATATAACAAGGACAAACATACAGCTCTCCCCAGTACCTCAGGGACATATTCCTTCCACTCCACCTTGGTCTCTGGGACTGCAGTGAAAAGTTTACTGCATTTTTAGGCCAGGCACCAAAAGGGTAAATATTGGCCTTTACTAGAGCAGTTACCCTTAGCATCATGGAGGGACCTCTCATACTCAGATCTGGAAAATATTCTAACAAAGAAATACATCAACCAAAAAGGAATTAGGCTCATGGCTTAGCTCACTTTCTACATAGCATTAGTCCCACCAGGTTTAAGTCCAGAGTTGGCAATGCCAGCTTCTGCTGGGCTGGGGTCCAAGATCTATGCTTCTTAGGGTGTCATGGTTGGGCCGTGACAATTTCTGGGCGAGTTTCTTGACCTCCCTAATCCCCATGGCTTGAACTCCTAGGGCAAATCAGAGCCTCCACTCTCTATATATTCTAGGATGGAAAAGAATGAACAAAAAGAACCAGGCCAGTTTTTTAAGGCCATACAGCACATGTTAGATTCTGCCTTATTGGATTCAAATTAATTAAAATTTATTAAGCAACTATTATGTGTAAGAAACAAAACATTGAAGACTCATGAAGAGAGAAAACATTTTAGCAGGAAGGAGGACAGATACAAAAGTAACTGATAAAAAGGACAATGAATTAAGGGCAGAGAAGAAACAGATCATTTTCCCCTGGGTGGGGAGGGAGAGACTTAGGGAAGGTTTCGTGGAGGAGATAATACCTGAGTTGATCCATGAAGGAACAGAGTTTTAATAGATAGGTGGTGGGAGGCAGTCCATTCCAGGTATGAGAGACCATGTAGAGGCAAAGACATAAAGAGGTGAGAGTGGGACAAGAATGGGAGAAAGAGAGTAGCTCAGTTTTACTGGAATGGATGATAGACAAAGAGGAATAATATGAAAGAAAGCAGGAAAAGTAGGTTGGAGTCAGGCAGCAGATTATACTTGGAACGGAATGAGGAGCCACTAATGATTTTTATAAAGAGCTAGTGATCTGAGCAGTTCATTAAGGAAGATTGCTTGTGTATCACTGTGTGGAAGACAGATTGGACAAAGGAATGAACTAGAAACAGGAAGATCTGTTAGGAAGTTACTATTATACTCCCAGTGAAAGGTAGTATGGGTCTAAAATGAGATGGTTACCGTGAGAATGCCTTCAAGGCAGCTAGGTGACTTGGTGAATAGAGCTCTCAACTGGAAGTTAGGAAGACCTGAATTTGAATCCTGCCAGAGACACACTAGCTTTGTGACCTTAACTTAACTTTTATTTACCCCCAGTTTCCTCATCTGTAAAATGGGTATAAAAATAATATCTTTCTCCCAAGGTTGTTGTGAGGATCAAATGAGATATTTGTAAAGTGCTTTGCAAACCTTAAAGCATTGTACAAATGCTAGCTATTGTTAACAACAACAATAATAAAGAACTCTTTGAAGAAAGGAATTATGTCTCATTGATCTGTATCTCCTCCATGATACTTAGCACAGAGTCTTATTCATATTGGTTCAACAAACTGCTCTGTGCAAGGCCCAGGGCTTGGTGCTTGAGATACAATATAGTCCCTGTTCCTTGAGAGCTTGCACCCTATTGGGGTAGTTCAGTTACACAAATTGATAATGTAGACTGTACTAGGGACAAATGGGAGGTCCAGACCAAGTTCTAGAATTCGAGTTCTAAGAGAACATTTTAGGAGGGAAAGAGGTAATTTGAAATGATTGAAGAGATGAATGAGTGAGTGTCTCAAAACAGATAAAATTGACCATGCTTGCTTGCTTATCTCAAGGAAGTAAATTGACCTTTACACAGCTTTCTTTTCTTCCCTCTTCCTTCCAGGTGTTCCTCTTTGTTGGCTCAGATGCTTTCAACTGCTGTACTTTTCTCTCTGGTTTTTCTCTATTGGCGGGGACTCAAGATGGGAACATATATCAGTTGGATGTAAGGAATCCAAGGTGAGTCTCAGTATATTTTGTTGATGTATGTTTTTGGTGAGCTGAAATTTTTAGCCTCGGTTCAACTTCAAAGGCTATGATCTTAGAAGTAGGAGTTAATTATGTAGTGAGAGTGAGCACTTCCCTAATAACAAATCTGTGAGAATAGACAGTGTGGGTATTATTTCCATTTTATAGAAGAGAAAATTGAGGCTTAGAGAGGGTAAATGGCTTACTCGAGGTCACATAGCTAGTGGATGTCAGAGCTAAGGTACAAACCCAGATCTCCTGACAGTACATCCAGGTCTCTCTTCACTGGGCTTCCTTTTTACTTTAGGCTAGTAATTTGGGCTAAATCAATCGGCAGATTGAGGGTATCATAGTTTAGATGTGTTGGTATCAGCAGACTGAGAAATTATTTCCCTACATGTAACACTGATTTATCTATAATAGTAAAAGAACTTGAAGGTAGTCTCAACTTACCTTTCCAGCTTTCACACATTGGTCTGTTGGGTTTATTATTCTCTCTTGAAGTTTAATGGACAGACATGGATAAGAATCATACAGGGGAAAGTGTGGATGGGGGGTTTGGGATCTTTGTTGGTAGAAGGTGTGCTCATATGGATGAAATCGCAGATTCATCAAGTAGGTTTAAATCTGATTTTAGTCTGGTTTCCAGATGAACACTGATCCAAAGCAATATTTCCTACTTTTCCAGAGTTGACCCTCAGATCTATTTCATTACTTTTCCTGAAGTTATATCGAAAGATAGTAAATGGCCCTTGGTGTCACGTTTGTTTTGAAAATTGAGCTTATGTTATAGAACAACTCTTTATTTCATTAAACATGATACTCTGTCCTTCTCTAGCATTTATAGGTTAAAGGACCTCAAGGTTCCCCACCAGCATTCCCCTGGGTGGTAGTAAACCTGTCAAAATCTGAGGCTGGAAGGAACCTCTCTAGGTTACATAGTACACCCTTCTGTCTTCACACGAGACCTGACCTAATCCATTCAAGAGATGGTTTTCTTGTTCTTAATGATCTACAAAAAAGGTTATTTCTCAGCCTCTCTGTCCCGGGATTTAACAATTCATGCTGTTACAGTTCTGTGTGCCTTTCTAAAATCTCTCTCGCTATAATTTAAGAGCATTTCTTCTTATCCTCTCCTTAGAAAATCTGATGTCTGTTATTAAAAAAAAAATCACCATTTACACTCCTGTAACCTTCATTAAATAGTTTTTCAGCTTTATCTTCCTTGAATGATCCTGACACTTTAATATTTCCCAGAAATTCCTGTTTTCTGATGTTGATAATTGTTTTTATCACACTTCCCTGTGCTGCTTCTTGCAGCATTCACCCATCTCAAGATGTCAGCATGTTGTCAACCCTAGCCCTTGATAGTTTAGCATGAGACAAAGTGCTTTTGGAAAATTTGAGAAAAGGCTATTTTTAGCTACAGAGAATAGGAAGACTTACTGAGGAAGGTCCTAAACTGGGCCTCAAAGAAAGAAAAGGATGTCAGTACCTAGAAGTGAAGAGAAATGTATTCCAGAAAGTGTCAAGGAAACATGAAGACATATTTGTTCTATTGAAAGATTTTTTTTTAGTTGAATCGAAATCCAGAGCTTTACAAACCTGCTTACAGAAAGAAATCAGCAGCATTCTGCCAGCCTCTCATAGGGAGCAACCTGGGATTTTGGTGCCCTGGCTTACTCTGCATCTAAGCACAGGTGCTGATAGCATCACACCTGCCTATTAACCTCTGGCATGATGCTGTGTCAGAGAGAAAAGTCATAGTATATTCTGTGTGTGCACAGCATTGAACATGACTAGAAAATGGGGGTCCTGGGAGCAGTAATGATTTATCAGGCATCTACTACTCAGCAGTCCAGCCAGTTTTGTCTGATTAACTGTTTTCTAACACACAACATCCCATGCCTCTTAATATTCCATATTCCTGAAGTGCATTCCTCTCTTGCCTCTGTCTCTTAGAATCTTGGCTTTTTTCAAAGCTTAGTTTAATGCCACTTTCTCTATGAATGAAGCCTTTCTTGATTTCTCTAAATGCTTCCTATTTATTCCTATTTATCCTATTTATTCTTCTTATTTATTGTATTTTATATTTACTTACATGGATACATATGGTTTCCCCCAGTAGAATATAAGCAGGGACTATTTATTTTTTTGTCCATTGTGCCTAACAGTGCTTGACATATACTAGATATTTAATAAATGCTTATTGATGGATCAGTTGATTCAGGCAATGAAAGATCCCATAAGTGATTCTTTTCAGTAACTGAAACTCATGTCTGCAAACCAGAAGACTTTTCCTTCTTAGTGAATTGCATAACTTCCCTGCCTTTTTAAACATTATAACTTTGAGTATTAAACATAATGATTTAAAATTATTTTTGATAACTCAGGGTCATCATTGTAAGGAGAATAGCTATGGTTTGGTAGAAAACGCATGAAGTTAGACTTTATTAGCTATGTTTCCTTGGCCAAGACAGTTAAGCTCAATGAAACTTGGTTTCCATATCTGTAAAATGAGGGTGGGAATACTGGTACTAGTTGCTTCCCAGGTTTGTTGTTAGGAAGATACTTAAAATGCCCTAGAAATAAATGGTTGTTCTCGGTCATTCCAGATTTTGGGACTGATCAGTTATTACTGTACCTTGTCATACAACAGTGGTACCTGTGGAGAATGTCTGTCCCATACCAAATATCCTCAGACTGCTGGACTTCTACCATTGTTGTCTGTTCATACTTTGGTATTATTCCTCTCTTGTCATCACTGTCTTTGATGCTGCTTCCTTTCAGGTTTCTAAGTCAGTCATTCCAGGACCGTAGGCTCTTGAAGCGATCCTTTTGAATCTTCCCACAGTTCTTCCAGACGGGAAGGGCTTTAAGTATAGTTCATGGACAAACTGCATATCTATCTCTGCTTGAATGCCAGTGAAAGGACACTGGTTACTTCTTGAGGCACTCTGCTCCATTGTGGGGTAGCTCTAACTCTTAGCAAGAGTTTCTGTTCAGTGAGACCAGATCTGCCTTTTTGCAGCATGCCTTTCTCCCCTTCCATAGTTATAGTCTCTGGAACCACATAAGAATACTCTCATTTAGCATACTTTTTAATAATTGGCCATACCCAAAGCTCACATTTAAGAAATCGCTTTTCTGTTGCAAATAAATTACTTGCTGGTTATACTGGTAGGGACAACACAGCTTACTAGACCTGATGGTTTTTTGTTCTTTATTTTGTCCAGACCTGTGATTTCATAGCTATAGGGAACTTCTCTTAAAAAGGCTCCTTCTGCCAGTGCAGATCAGCAGCTGTCTTGTAATTTAGCCTTAGAGTTGCCTGGGCCACTGAGCACTCATGTGACTTGTCCAGAGTCACACAAGCAATCTGTGTCAGAGGCAGGACTTGAATATAAGTCTTCCTGACTCAGAGGCCAGATTTCAAGTCACTACTCCACACTGCTTCTTGGACCTAAAGGTAAATTGCTTAAATAATAGTTTGTCCTACTTAACCCCAAATTCTGTGTTCTGCTTGACCTATTTCTCACCATTGACACTTTCCTGTCTTGAACCTGTCATCCATCATCTCTCATGGTGTGGGGTAGTTGCTTCTATTGTCTTGGTGAATTCCCTTGACCCAGAAATAACTTCTCCCATTTCTGTAGCACTTTAAAATTTGCAAAGTACTTTCTTACAACAAGCCTAAGAAAATGGCTAGTGCAAATATTCTCATCTCCATTTCACAGAAGGAAACTGAGACTTAGAGATGGCCAATGACTTGCCCATGGTTACATAGCTAAGAAGTGGCCTGACTGGGATAAGAACCCAAGTCTCTTGGTTGCACAAACAAACCTCTTTCCAGGATGCTTGCTACTTTCCCATTTAGGTTAGTACGTTTTTGGACCAAACTGGCGTGAATATCATAGACTGAATGGGTTGATATAAACTGGTTTACAAGTTTGCCCCCTACCTTGTTGGAAGTAAAGAACCAGCAGGTTCTTCCCTTCAAGTTCCTGAAATAGATAATTTAAATAATTAATTCCTGACACAGGAACTACCTTGGAGGGGACAGGGCTTACTATAAATTAGGTAATCAACAACATTATTAAAGAAGGGAGTTTTTTACTTTCTCATCTGAACTCTAAGATTAGCTTTATTTACAGACTGTTCTTTTACTTTCATAGGATAATAACATTTCAAGCTGAAAGAACCCTTAGAGCTAGATCTTCTAGATAACCTGATCTTTTTCCAGATGAGGAAACTGAGACCTAGAGAGAAGTGACTTGCCCAAGGTCACACAGGTATTAAAGTGACAGGTCTGGGATCCAAACCCAAGGTCTCTCATTCTTACTCCGGGGCTTTTTCCTCTATATCACTCTGCCTTTCAACTTTCAAGTCAGCTTTAGGGAGATCTTAGCCAGGAAATGATCATTATGAATGTTTTATTTTTTTCCTTGCTTTGTCCTATTTGCCTTAAGTTGTTGATAATATATGCTGGCCTCACTTTTCAAGAAATCTTTTTGGTCGTCATCCTGATCTTTTTCCCTGCAGGGTTCCAGTTCAGGTCATTCGCCGATCAGGAGCTCCAGTACTGTCTCTGTTGGCTTACCGAGATGGATTCGCCGCCAGCCAAGGTATCCCTAGAGTCATAAGTATGGAACTGACCTCTTTGGCAAGTGAATGAATGCCTTGTAAATTTTAGCACTGGGGCTGAGCTTCTATTTTAGTGGAATGAAATCAGGAGAACTGGGTTTGAGTTATGGTGACACTGTGTGATCCTGGGCAAGTCACTTCACTGAGACTCAGTTTACTCATCTATAAAATGGGGATAGTAATCTTTCTACCACGTGAGGGGTTTTTTTCCCCCCTCCCAAGAAAGGGCTTTATAAACCTTAAGCACTTGATCAAATTACAGCAAGAGGAATTTATACTTTATGTTAATCCTGTCTATTAACAGAAGCTATAGCATTGCCTTTGTTTTCAAGAGTACTAATAATCCTTCAGATTTGTACAGTGCTTGACAGGTTATAAAATACTTTCATATACATAATTTCATTTGACCTCATAGTAGCCCTATAGGAATAAGCAGGGTAGGAATTATTAACCCTATTTTAGAGATGAGGAAACTGAGGCACAAAGAGGATGGACTGTGTTTTAATGATATGTGTAAGAGTAGAATGATTTCTCTTTCAGATATTCTGAAGCTAGCATTAGGGCTGGCAAAATGTGAGTGAATAATTTAGGGAATTAAATAAAAGCTTAGCTTTCGGGCAAAATAACAATACAGTCACTTCTACTACAATTTGACATATGTGTTTCTAAAAAATTATCATGGTAGGGATATATCTCTTTTCTTCCTGTTGTCCTCCTTTTAGCTAAATTGAATGATTTTTTTCTTTATCTTCAGTCTCTCTGACATTCTCAATGCATTTGACACCATTACCTCCTTCTTCAAGCCCTCCCTTTCCCTTACTTGTGATATAATAATCTTCCAGTACTTAAAAAGTTTTTGTATTTTCATCTGTTAGACTGCTCCCTCCATTGATAAAGCGTTCAGCCCCTCTGGGACTTAATAGAAACAATCTTCATGAGTTTCTTTGACTAACAGAATTTCATCCCTTGGCAGCCACCATTCTGCTATAAATCTCTTAGGAGTTAACTAGGTTGGTCTTCAGACAACAGGCACAAAGTCATAGTCCATTGTTAGCCTTGTGCTTGAAACGAAAAGCAGTTAAATATAAAATAAAGTGACTTCTGATGACATATATAGCATTTTGCCCTAGTAGTCCCTCACTTCACTGATTAGAAGAGGAAAGTATGCTTCAGGGGCAACTAGTTGGCGCAGTGAATAGAGCTCCGGCCGTGGATTTAGGAGGACCTGAGTTCAAATGTGGCTTCAGATACTTGACACTTACTGGCTGGGTGACCTTGGGCAAGTCACTTAACTCCGTTTGCCTCACCAAAAAGAAAAAAAAAGTATGCTTCATTATCTGTTCTCCAGGACCATTATTGGGATTATTTTTATTTTAAACACTTTTCCTCTTTTATGATGAACTGAACAAGCTTCAACAGCTATTATTTCAGTATACAAAGAACAAAAAAGAGGATTATACAACTATGAACAGTTAGTTACATTTTTCTTTCGTACATGATAACTTTAATATATTTTTAAAAATTGTCCTGTGTCCCTTTCTTAACTTCATTTCATTTTCTTCTGTGTATTTTGAAAATATTTTATTATCTTTTTTTTCCATTCCACTAAACTGATCCTGCCCCCAAATAAAGCCTTCCTTTGTAACGAATAAGCATGATTAGGCAAAAAATTCATTTGACCATACCTGAAAACATGTTTCTCAATGTGCACATCTAGTCCCTCACTTCTCTGCCAAGAGATGAGAGGCATGCTTCATCCTTAGTTTTCTGAAGTCATAGTTGGTCACTGCATTGATCAGAATTCTATAGTTTTTCCAAGTTGTTCTCTTTTATATTATTGTGGTCAATGTTTAAATTATTCTCTTGGTTATGTTTATTTTATTCTGTATCAGTTTATGCAAGTCTTCTCAGGTTTCACTGAATCCATCATATACATCATTCACAAGGTGTGATAATATGTCATTCACATATATCACAGTTTATTCAACCATTTGATGATTACTCAACTTTGTTTCTGATTCTTTGCTGTAACAAAGAGTGCTGCTATAAATATTTTTGTATGTGTGGTCTTTTCCTTCTGTATATGACCTCTTTGGTTATATGTGCCTTAGAGGCACAAGTTAGTGACTTTCAGGGTCCAACTAGCTTTCCAGAATGATTGAACCAGTTCATAGCTCTACCAATCATGAATCAGTATGCTTGTCTTCTCAGAGGTCTTCCAACAATTGCCATTTTCATTTTTTGTCATCTTTGTAAATCTGTTGGCTGTGGGTTGTTTTAATTTGTATTTCTCTTATTAGTAATTTGGAGAATTTTTTTATATGCCTTTTGATAGCTTTTATTTCTTCATGTGAGCACTGCCTGTTCACAGTCTTTGAACACTTATCTATTGAGTAATGCCTTTTATTATATATTTGTGTCATTGTCTTATACATCTTGGATATCAAAGTTTATCAGAGAAATCTGCTCCAAAGATTTTTTTTCCCCAGTAGACTGTTTCCCTTTTAATTCTAACTGCATTGATTTTGCTTGTGTAAAAGCCACCATTACACTCTTGCTTCTTTTTAGTGTTATTTTTATTTAAATTACTTTGGTCACTGGATATATTGTTCTAATTTCACCCTGCATCATTTCATATAGATCTCCTCATGTTTTTTTTTTTTAATTTCTCATATTTGTTACTTCTTTTAGTACAGTAATATTCCAGGATAGGAAGTCGTACAGCTAGTGTCAGAGCTAGCACTTGAACCTGAGGTCTTCTGATCAAACCCTCTTTTCCGTTACACTGGACTATATTTCCCGTGTTCCCGTCCCCGTCTCCCGTCCCGTATTCGGGGGAACTCCCGTGTTCCTGTCCCCGTGTTCGGGGGAACTCCCGTGTTCCCGTCCCCGTCTACCGTCCCGTGTTCGGGGGAACTCCCGTGTTCCCGTCCCCGTCTCCCGTCCCGTGTTCGGGGGAACTCCCGTGTTCCCGTCCCGTCTACCGTCCCGTGTTCAGGGGAGCCCCCGTCCCCGTCTGCACAATTCACATTTCTGTAGTACTTTAATGTTTACAAAGCATTTTCCTCAGAACAAACATATGAGGTAAATTGAATGCGTGCTCTTCTCCTTGTTTGATGCAGTAGAACACTTACCCTCAGAGAGGTCAAGTAACTCGCCCAAGGTGGCAGACTGTACAAATTTCAGGACTGGCCTTTGAACCCAGTTTTCTAATTTGCAGTCCTGTGCTTTTATTTTATTTTATTTTATTTCTTGCTAGGCAATGGGGTTAAGTGACTTGCCCAGGGTCACGCAGCTAGTAAGTGTCGAGTGTCTGAGGCTGGATTTGAACTCGGGTCCTCCTGATTCCAGGGCCAGTGCTCTATCTACTGGACTGCCTAGCTGCTCCAGTCCTGTGCTTTTAGATGACTTCTACTTATCAGATTCTAAGTATTTTATGATTCCATGTGAGCTGGATTCTTCCTCTTTTTCTTTTTCAGGTGATGGGACCTGCTTCATTATGCAGCAGGACTTGGACTATGTAATTGAGTTGACTGAGGCTGACTGTGACCCTGTGTACAAGGTAAGTCTCAAGGAGGGCACCACATGCAGCCTTGGTTGATGCTTTGGAGATGCTGAGTGCTGCCACCTGGTGGCAAGTAGGTTGGTTCCATAGGCCAGGTCTTTGATGGTTGTTGGTAGTTTCTCAGCTGCTAGAAAAATAGTAATAAAAATAATAATTCCCATTTCTGTACTAGTTAAAAGTTTATAAGTGCTTTCCCCACAACAGTCCTATCAGGTGGATTATTATCTCCATTTTACAGACGGGGAAAATAAGACTCAGAGAAAGGAAGTGACTTGCTACAGAGTCACCCAGCTAGTGAATATCAGAGCTGGAATTAGAATCTAGGTTTTGTGGTGTTAAATCATAGATTCAGAATATGGAGCTGAAAGAAACCTTAGCAATCTAGTCCAATTTCTTATTGTAGATGACAAAATTTTGTCCCAAAGATACTGAATCCAGCATCGTTTTTACTCTTCACTGCTTTTACTCTCTTCACTGCTAACATAATCTTCAACCGCTATCCAGAAGGAAGGAAGATATAATCCTGCTATTCTTTATCTTGATCAGGCCACAAAGGAAGGTTTTAGTAATAGTTTTGATAGGTTGACATATATCTAGAGTTCAGAAACCAAGATGGCTTGAAGGACTTGAAACTTGCCATATATATCCATCAACAAGCCAGGAATTATGATAATCACTGGGAATAGAAAGACAGAGTTGAAAAAAGCCCTGCACTCATGGAGCATACATTCTAACAGGGGAGACAGCATACAAATGGATACATAATCTATACAAAATAAATACAAGATGCTTTTTGTGGGAAAAGTAATAGAAGCTGAGAGGGATCAGAAAGACATCTAGAACCTTTTTTTGTGTCATGGACATCTTTGGCAGTCTGGTTAATCCTGTGGAACCCATCTCAAAGTATTATTCTTAATTGCATAAAATAAAATGCTTAAAATTACATAAGAAACTAATAATATTCAAATACATTTATTAAGCACTTACTATGTGCCAGGCTTTATGCTAAGAACAAATACAGTTATCAAATATTTTAAAAAACCAACCACAACAAATTCACAGGCCTCAGATTAACATCCCCTCATCTAGAAGGTGGTATTGGAACTAAGTTTTAAAGGAAACTAGGGATTCCAAGAGGCAGAAGTGAGGAGGGAGTACATTGAAGGTGTGAGTGATAGCCAATGCAAAGGCACAGAGTTAGAGCATCATTTGTGAGGAAAGCAAAGAGGCCAGTGTGACTGGACTTAACAGTGTGTGGAGGGAAGAAACAAGTAAGACTGGCCAGTTTGCAAGGAGCTTTAAATGCTACCCAAGGAGTTTATACTGGAATTTATGAAATAGAGGTTGACATGGTCACACCTATGATTTAGGAAAATCCCTTTGATTGCTGTATAAAGAATGGGTTAGAGATGGAGTCAGGGAGACCAATTAGGAAGCTAATGAAAAAATCAAGGTGGGAGGCAATAAGGGCCTAGACTAAGATATTAGTTTTGTGAGTGGAGAGAAGGTAACATAAGTAAGTGATACTGTGGAACAAGAAATGACAAGATTTAGCAATGATTAGATTAAAAGTAGAGTGAGGGAGATTAAGGAGTTAAGGCTAACACCAAGATTGTGAACCAGGGTAAATGGAAGGATGGTGGTACCCTTAACAGGCACCACCTTTTAATAGGCAAGTTTGGAAGAAGATTGCTTTTGTTGCAAAAGATAAGGAATTCTGTTTTGGACCTATTGTGTTTAAAGTATCTACAGGACACTCTATATGAAATTTGTAATAAGAAGTTGGTTACATGGGACCTAACTCAGGAGAAAACTAGGATTAAATAGAGAGATAATGGGAATCCTCTGGATAGAAATGATAATTGAACTCATGGGAACTGATAAGGCCACCAAGTGAGGAGAAAAGAGCACCCTCAACTGAAACATAAAGGACTCCTACAGTGAGTGGACGTGGCATGTTTGATGATCTAACAAAAGAAATTGAGGAGTGGTCACAAAGGAGAACCATGAGGGAAAAATGTTGCAGAAATTCCAAGAAGAGCAGCCAGGAAGGGAATATGGTCAACAGTGTTAAGCTTCAGAAGGATGAGGATTGAGAGGAGGACATTGGATTTGGCAATTAAGAGATCATTGGTAACCTTGGAAAGAGCAGTTTGATTAATGAGGTCAGAAGCTTAATTGTGAAGGGTTTAGAATCAATGGAGGGGCAACAGAGGAACCTAAGCAAAGCATTGAGAAGTGAGGGAAAAACAGGAGCAGTCAAAATGACATCTTTTTCCAGGGGTAAACTGTGAAAAAGAGGAGAGTTGGTCAGGGCAGAGCCAAGATGACAGAAGCATTAGAGTCTTGCTCTCTCCTCATGTTTCCTCAACAAAGATCTAGAGAATGCACTAGGTTGAATTCTGATCAGGAAAGCCAAGTAAATCATTTTGCCAGGCTTAGGGAGCTGGACAGAGAGGTATACAGATGCTGAAGAGGGGACTGTTAAGAGCATGCAGTGGCTGTGGGAGGTATCATTCCAGACCTTGGGGACTAAGAGAGAGCCTGGAGAGGGCATTAGGAAGAGATACCAGGGGATTCTTGAGCAAATTTGTGGTGCAGAAACAGTTGCCATCTAGCAGCTCTATTGCCTACCACTCTGTGCAGAGAGGAGCAGGTATAAGTGTTGGCCTTTGTATGTTGAGCACAGAACAAGTTCTGGACAGTAAATGGCAGCTGTGTGAGTGGCTCTGATCCTAGGAGCAGAGGACATCTCAGACCAGAGGGAGCTGGCAGTTTAGTTTCTCTGAACCTTCAGACCCTCTCTCAGCTAGCCAATAATGGTTGAATCAAGGAGTAATCTACTGAAATTCCCAGTTAGAAACAAACCAGTAGACCCAAACCTGGGTTGTGTACTTGCAGCACTCAGACCAGGAGAACACTGAACACACCTTCCACCAGACCACACCATTTTGGGCTCACTAAAAACTTGCAGGCCCTGGCTGGAGCTGTAAAAGCTTGTTGTAAGAGGACAAAGTTCCTCCAGCACTCAAAGTATATGCTGAGCCCAGTATTAATATAAAGTCCTAAGTCAAGAAGTAGCAAAAAAAAATATATTCTGAATATTAAGAGCTGTTATGACCACAGAAAGGTCAAGACACAAACACAAAAGAAGAGAATGACTTGGAAACCTCTAGGAGCAGCTAGGTGGCACAGTGGATAGAGCACCGGCCCTGGAGTCAGGAGGACCTGAGCTCAAATCCAGCCTCAGACACTTGACATTTACTAGCTGTGTGACCCTGGACAAGTCACTTAACCCCATTGCCTCACAAAAACAAACAAACAAAAAGAAAGAAACCTCTATAAGCAACACGTCAAAGATAAATGCAGATTGAAAAATGCAACAAGAATTCCTAGAAGAGTCAAAGCAAGAGTTAAAGTAGGAGCTAAAAAATTACTTTAAAAACCAAATGAATTGTACAATGAACTGTGATTTAATACAGTGATCCAAGACAGCCCCAAAGAACACATGACGAAAAATGCTGTCTGCGTCCAGAGGAAGAATTGATGTTGTCTGAATACAGACTGAAGTATATTACTTTTCCCTCTCTCCCTCCCTCCTTCCCTCACTCCCTTCTTTCCTTCCTTCTGTCATATTTGTTTGAGTCTTCTTGCACAAAATTACTAACATGGAAACATTTTACATGATTGCACATGTATAACCTATATCAGATTGCTTACTGTTACAAGGAGCGGGGGGTGGGTAGAGAAGGGAAGGATGACACTTGGAACTCAACACTTTTTTTAAAAAATCTTTTTTAAAAAACAAATGGGGAAAGAGATAGGGAAGAAAAATATGAATAGAGAATTAACAGCCTGGAAAAAGAAATACAAAGCCTTACTGAAGAAAATAATTCCTTAAAAGTTAGAATTGGCCAAATGGAAGCTAATGATTCCATGAGACATCAAAAAATAATAAAGCATAGTCAAAAGACTAAAAAAAAGGTAAAATATCTCATAGGAAAAACTGACCTAGAAAACAGACCAAGAGGGGGTAATTTATCAGGAGGATGTGCGTTCAAATCCAGCCTCAGACCTATGACACTAGCTGTGTGACCCTGGACAAGTCACTTAACCCCGAATGCCTCACCAAAAAAGACTGTCTGAAAGCCATGAACAAAAAATGAGTCTAGACTTCAGGACTTAAACGTAGACTAGATTTCAGGAAATCATCAAAGAAAAATGTCCAGATGTCATAGCACCAGAAGGTAAATTAGAAATTGACAGAATCAACCAGTCACTTCTTGAAAAAAATCCCAAAATGAAAACTCTCAGAAATATTATAGCCCAAATTCTAAGCTCCCAGTCATGGAAAAATAACAGAAAGGAGCCAGAAAGAAAGAATTCAAAAGTATGGAGCCACAATCAGAATTACACAAGATTTAGAAGTCATTATTTATGAGGAGTGGAGAGATTAGAATATGATATTTCAAAAGGCAAAGGATCTAGGCTTACAACTGAGAATAACCTACCCAGAAAAACTGAGTATAATCCTACAAGGAGGAGAAAAAGGCTATTTGATGAAATAAAGGACTACCAAGAATTCCTGATGAACAGAAGACCACTGAGTAGAGCATTTGAAGTTCAAACACAGGAGTTAAGAGAAACATAAAAAAGTAAATGAGTGAAAAATTATAAGGAACTGAACAAGGTTAAACTGTGTACATTCTTATGAGATGGGATACATGTAACTCATCAGAACTTTGTCATCACCGAGGGTCATAGAGGGAGTCTAATTAGACAGAGGATGTAAGTGTAATTCTGTTGTGTTTAAATGATCTCAAAAGAGAAATGGAATGGATAGGGAAGAAAAATGCCCTGGAAAAAGAAGGGAAGGGAGATGAAGAATGGGAAAAATTCTCTCACATAAATGGGGTGCACAAAAAGGATTTTATACAACAAGGAAGGGGCAGCATGTGTCGGAGGAAATGGACAGCACTTGAGCTTTACTTTCATAT